GTCATATCAGCTACTGTGCCACACTGTTTGTTAGGAAGACTGCTTCCATTACACTGGTGTCAGAGATGGTTAGCTCTGTTAGTCTAAAGTCAGGTAGAAGGCCTGGCAGGGCAGCATCTAAAAGACTAACAGGTTCAGAAAGGCAAGAAATTTTGTAAGCAGCAACCTACATTGCCAGACATTGGTGCCATTAATACTCTTGGAAGATGGCTAAAGGGTACTTTCTATGCCATAGAATCTCATGGAATGAGCTCTTGCTCACAAAAAAGTTACGAATCTCTGACTCAGTTACTCTATAAGGTGCACCTCTAACCTTGCCTTCTACCTGATTTCAGGCTAACATGGCTAATTCCCTCTTTCTACATGTTTTAAGTCCAGATAAAGCAGATCAATTATTTTTCAGCCCTCCTTCTCCCTCAGTGCCCTCTCCCACTCCCAAGTTCCCCTCCCTGCTAAAGAAACCCAGGGCTCAGAAGCCAATGGCTAACATTATAGGGCACCGCTATTAAGAGTAATCCAAAATACAACACAGCAATTTTTGCTGTAAACTTGTAGCAAATTTCAACTGAGGCCACTTCCTGGCCTGTTATACAAAGGAATGTCCCCTACACCAGCAGTTCCCAAACTCTGACAGATTGTGCACAACCAGTTTAAAACAATACAACCTTAAAATTGTTTAATTTTGTTTAAAACAATACAACTTTAAAATTTTTCAGTTTAACCTTAAATACCATCAGCATATTTTTATCATATTAAATAATTATAATCAATCTGTTAACGTGTATCACTGACAGGTTGTCTGCATAGCACTGGAGGTACACATACCACAGACTGGGAACCACTCCTCTACACATGCGAGGGCTAACAGTTTGTCTCTAGTCTTTTGATAGGATAGTTTCTACCCTAACCAATTTCCACGTTACCCCAGGTGAGTTTTCCTGTTTAGCACTGTAAAATGAGTTCTTCCTTAATAACTCATTTCTTACAGTTTTCGGTTGTACTGACTGATTGGAGAAAAAAAACATTTTTTTTCAGGCCACCAAGATTTTGAACATTGTTTTGATGCCTGCTTATTTTACTTTGACTCAGATAAAGATGCCCAGCACCTAGAATAATAGAAAGCTATAGAACCTAGGTTTAGACCTGTTGAATGCCTTGCCAGGGTTGGTCTGTTTGTGCTTTACAGTGTACTGCAGATATCTGTGAATGTGAATCCTTTTAAGACCATCCTACAGCTAAAAAAAACAAGAAACCTAGGATTACTTGAAGAATCATTTGGTCAACATAGTATAGCTAATGAGTTATTAAGAAGACCTAGGCTGCTGCAGCTCTGCCAATACAAACACTGAACTACTCTTTGTATGTGGCTGGGTGCATGTGCACACACACACGTGTGCACATACAATGCCCCCCCCCAGGCTTTACTTTCAAGATACAATACCATCTCGTACAAGGACAGTTAAACCAGTGAAAAAATGACTGCTTTAATGCTGCCAAGGTGAGTATACTCCTCGGGCATGAATCAAGCAAGTGCTGATCACTCAAATTAAAGCAACCTAGAAGTTATAAAAGCCTATGCTTATTCTTTATCCCAAGGATATATATAAACACATGAGAGGAGGGGGAAATGCATGTAATTTTCTCATTTCCACTGATCACTTCCTTCCTTTTCGAAATCCACAGACTGAATCTTCTCTTACCTATCTGTAAAATTATTTTCTCAAGACACTCTTCATTCCAGGAGGCACTTTATAGCGATATTGCATGTACCACAGAAACTAGCACTATTTCCATGTATATAACAAGGCAAAAAGACCCTGCATCAACACAACCACCCCCTGAAAAAAAGAAAAAAAAAGTATTAAATGCAGACACTATCACTACAGTGCCAAACAGCTGAAGGGTCTAAAATGTTCAATATATTGTACTGACAGCAGATACAATACACTGTTTTGGTACTTCCTGTGTTGCGTAGGAAGTCACACTAAATGACCATCTGTAACCTTCAGGCCTTAAAACCTATGAGTAAATAAAAATACAAATTAGTCAATCAAACTAGAGTTAAATGTGTAAATGGTTCAGCAACGTAAAATACATATGCTGGGCTTCATAAAAGACAAGGGATATTTATTTACATAGGGCTGGGTCTTGCACCACTGAAATCAGTGAAGTTTTGCCATTGACGTCAATCATTATATCTTAAAATTTAAGTCTGCAGCTATAAGGTATAGACAGATATAACAATTGTTGGACATCAAAGAATATCAATATAAACTGTACACTGCAGCTGTTATGCCTGCACGGCCATATCCAGATGAGCACAGCCATGTGGTATGTGGTGCTGCAAACACATCTGTGGCACCACATAGTACATATTCAGATGTTCTCTGCACTGCAAGAGAACACTGCCCATGCGTGCACTGCTCTGCTTTTTTTTTTCCCCGTGGCTTTTTTTGACCCCTGGATATCCCCCCTGGACAAACAAAGGCCCTGGTCCAGGGGGGAAGAGAACCTCCCACATCCTTCCACACCCCATACAGTCCTTGCTAACCTCCCTGATCCTGCCAAACTTTCCTGGAAGCCAACAAACCCCAAGCAGACCCTGTTTGCTCCCATGATCCTGCCAAACCCTGCCAGATCCTACCAAATCCTCCTATGGACCTCATATGTCCCTTGCTCCCCCATTACCCCCACAAACCCTGACTGATCTCCAATCCCCCTCATGGATACTACTAGTCCTCCTGCCAACCCCCACCCCCAGCCTCCCCTGCAGATGCTGCTTGCACCCATGATCCCCCCCAAACCTCCCTGCTAACCTCCCCATCCCTGTTTACCTTAGATCAGGTTACCATTTTTAACTTGATCTAACCTCCCTGAATATCTGTACCTACTCTCAGGGTCAACATTAGGGCAATATAGCTAATTTGTATCTACAGAATCATGCCGAGGTAGTAGATAGATTGTAACAGTTAATGTGTTCCCAACCAGCAGCTCTCTCCTCTTTGTAAAACAGTTAAAAGGTACGTCTGTGCATACCATTATTACATTCAATAATGTGCTTATACGAAGGCTATACGCTGGACAAGACTAAAAACCCATACTAATATCCAAAAGACAGATAAAAAAGGCTCTCAAACCTGATTAAAATACAGCATAGATCTATAACAATTTATACTCATATTTCATTTATTTTAATTGCACATTAATGAATGACATCTGCACAGAATGCGTGGTAGAGGATCTGAAGCAAAAAACGTTAAAGAGAAATAGAAGTACCCCCTCAGTAATTTTCCTTATGAGGGTCTTTATTCATTTTTAAATTGTAAGACAGCAAAATCAAATTTAATAATTCAACCTTTATTCATTATAGTGTAAACTTATGTATTAGAGTATCTTGGGCAAAGGGAGAAAGGAAAGAGATGAGTAAGTTATTGTGTCTAGGAAAGCAGCATCAGGGAATACTCTAACTTTGTCCAATAACTTAAATTTCTAAGGGTTTTTAATACAGAGCTTGTTACAAATGTGTAATGAGCTGTAAGGGCTTAAAGAACCTCAAGGATTTGTTGCAGACTTTTGTAACAATAAACTGTCACTTATTTTAGCATTCACTTGCAAAATCTTCAACTATGGTCCAGTGCTTATCTATATTTAAAGTGAATTTATGACTGAATTCAACCTTTCCTGAAGCTATGAACTAACACGCATACCTATGCATTTTAGGCATTTTTATCCTTGCAGTATGGACTGCTTCCAATGTACCTCCATCTTAAATTTCAGTGTTTCTACTTCTGCCCACCTCCTGTTTTTCTATCTTTATAAAAATGTGGTACTATATTCTGTAGTATGATATGGGCCAAATTACATAATCTTACAACAGTGATTCTGCAGTATTTGTCTAGAACAGGACACTGGGTTTCTTGGTAACTAAGATGAAGTAGACCAAAGTGCATAGGATGATTTGATGATGTGTATAAATGGGAATTTGAATGAAGACAACATAATTATTTTGATTTGCATCCAGGTCTTGCGGATCCTACAAAATAAGTAAAATCACAAATAAATAACTATGGGGTCTAAGAACAAGCATCAGTGTGTCACACTAACTTCTAAAATCAGCAGAATCCAAAGCTAAGTCTCCTCTGCCTTTCATGTGCCTAGGTAAGTGGCTCTGAAGCTGGGTGCCATGACACAGAGATGCTGTGGCCAGCATGCCTCCCTTCCAGGAAGAGCATGGAGGGCTGGACTGGAAAGTGGCTGCCATGGGAGGAGGTGCTCCTGACTGTATTAGATTTATCTTCACCCCCTCCTGTCTCCTGTTGCTGCCACATCCTGGTCTGGCCTCACACAGAAACAAGAGACATAGGTACTTTCACTTGGCCTAGTACAGAGGCAGTGCCGGTGCTGCAGCATCCTTAAAAGGATGGGATGCTCCTGCCTGCATTATGCTTATCTAGGTTATCATTTATTAAGTCATCTGCATCATCTCCTGCTGCAGCTGCTTCTTGACCTGGCCCCACATGCACCTCCTGGAAAATGCAGTGCCACTAAATTCAGCAAAGTTATGGCAATGTGCCATTAGCCTAAAAAGGCTGAGAACCACTGGTCTAGATGCTACATAAACCTCAGATCATAGGTGATATACCAAATGCTAGCCCAAATACTGCTACCACTTACAGTTCTTCGAATCTATTTACTATTAAGCAAAAAGTTACCTTTTAGATTTACACTAACATAACTAGAAGTAGACTGTAGCATCCTAACTGTATCTAGACAAAATAAGGTGATGGAAGTGCAGTATGTACCTTAACAGAATGATTTATCTTTGAAAGTGGGGGGAGAAATCAGCATAGTAAGGTCAGAGTTTTCACATTATTGTAATATGTTCTGTATGTGCAACTATGAACTGTATAGTGTATAAAGGACAGGTCTGGATGCCAAGCTATTGTAGTCGCAGAAGTCAAAGAATGAGTGTAAGCACAATAGACCATGAGTGAACCTACCATTGTGTTGTGCTGAGAAGTGGGAGTCCTATGGCCACAATTCTCTTGACTCAGCAGAGAAACTGGCTGAAATTCCTCAGAGTGAGGCTTGTTGGGAAAACTCACATGCAAGGGAAGGTGAAAGGCTGGGAGCCCGTCACTCTCCTCTTCTTCCACTTTCTGTCTGCTTGTCACCATGGCTACCTCTCCATCTGCTTCCCCATACGGAGAGGCTGGTCGCTTGGAAGACATCCTGGAAGGAACAAAAGAGGAGAAAATAATGAAACCTCCAAATAAATCCTTAATGCCGTCATTGTGTGGTTAGGGGCCATTGTAACAGAAATGCCTTTTTTGTGCTGGCAGAGAGCAGGAAACCATCCAAATACCGCTGCAAAGCATACACAATTGGGAACAATGGCCAAGCAGGTAGCAACAGAACAGTGCTTGTTTGTTGTGAGAATAATACACTAATATAGCACTCTTGTATTCTGGCTCCTTAAACATAAAAATTCACCTAAGAACACCACATAATGAAATGCAATTCCTTTAAAAAAATACCCATCCAGCTATACATTTTCCAAGAGCTTATAAAAGATGGAATGCCTCCCAATGCAAACTACTGTCAACTTAGCTGTTAAGATCTATTTATTTTTAACAATACCCAAGAAAGCAAAATAAAATAAAAAGCTTGCTGTAAACCTAAATTTTCTGACTTTTAAAACTCATTATCAACATGAAAGATTACAGATGTTATCGTATTGGTGAGAGAATTTTGTAAGGTTTGGTCTACTCTATAAAGTTCTGCCAATATAGCTATAGCAGCTAAGAGTGTGAAAAGATGTCACCCCTGGCTGACATAGTTTAGTCAGCAACCTGGTGTCTCTCCTCCATGCTCACTAAGTCTGGAAGCTACTGTGTTAATAGAAGAGAACTTCTTCTGGAAAAGCATTTGCAATTGAGGAGGTCCTTTAGCAAGGCCCCTAGAAAAATACCTTCTGCCTTCATTTACCACATAGCTATTAAACAGTTTTGCTGGTTTAGTTCTGCTGGCAAAGCTGTGGTGGCAGCAGTCCTTTATCAGAAACAAACCCTAAGATTCACACAAATGGAAAGGAATCTAAAATGCAGATGTTTATACAACTATCTCAAATGCTTGACTCTATGAACACTGGAATCTAAAGCTTGCATGAAGACTTTATGAAGATGTCCAGTCTTTTCAATTTCCAATTAGATCCAAAATAAAGAAAGAACAACACCTGTACAAAACATGCACAGAAAAGGCATAGAAAAGCATTTTCATTCAACATTTGGACCCACTCCCAACAATTTCAGAGATTAACAAAACAATTCAGTTAACTTTCACATTTCTGTGCACCTGTTGTGTATATGCCAAAAAACCCATATACCATGACAAAAACTAGTTTTCATTCAAACCAGAGAAAATAAAACATCTCTCAAGATAGTCTGATTCCATCGAATTTTCAGCAGTCTTCATAACAGAGAGTTCTGAAGAGAGAACAGAAGTGTCCAAATGTTAGGGATTTATCCAGACAAGGTTCTTTGGGTCATTCTTATATCTTCTATTAGACCAACTCAAATAGTTGGGAAAATTCTTCTTTGCAAGCTTTCAGGCACAAACACCCTTTGTCATGCTGAGGAAGCATCTGCAGTTGGTGTGTGCTCTTCCAGGATGGAATGAATAGTATTTACCCAATACGGATTTACCCAAACTTTCTGAAATTTACCATAACTAATCATTCCTCAGGAAAAGAAAGGCATGTGTTACAAAATGGAATTGTGATATAATAAGGAGCATTTGTAATAAGGAATGGAGTCTAAAGTAAATAAAAATAGTAACTTTAAAGCAAGGACTTATTCAGTCAGAACAATCATGACAAGAAGAGAAGAGAAGTGAAAAGAAATGAAGCAATATTTCTAAGAACAAAAAACAATACATAATGGAAAATGGGTATTCATGAGATAGGAAAGTGAACTCTATTGTAAATAAAAGTTGTAAGGGGAAGCTGAAGTGAGCAGCGCAACATAGCTCCTCCTCAAAAATCTAGCATTTCTGATTCTAATTACCCCTATTTTGATTTTCCACTTCACAGTTAAAGAGCTCTGTTTCAAAAGCCCAGCAGCCTCTTGAACCATGTGTGGGGCTGCTGTGATGTGGAGCATGTCCATACGATTTGGCATATTGAGCACGAAATGGTTCTTAGTGGCAGTCAACTGGGTCTGAAAACAAACAGTGACTTTAAACAGCCCTTTGTTGGGACTTATTTTGTTTCTAATGATCTCATTTTGAGTGCTGCTGCCTGAGCCAATTTAGATTATATTAAGAAAAGTCAGACCAAAAAATCCCCCACCAAAACCCACACTCAGTTGCATACCTCCAGTTTTTCTGAACATCACCTAATGTCTATATGTAGAGAAACAATCTGTATTTTCTGTGACTGTTTGACTTAGTCCAACAGATTAGCACTTTATACATCCTACCTAAATTCTGTTTTCTAGACTCTCCCACCTACATGCCTGCAGAGAAACATACGCACATAAACAGAGTTCATCAGATGCACTTGCTGGCGTCTTGTATTAGGTGTGATACCTCAGGATTCTACAGCCATGTGTGAAGCAGTGGGGTCCTCATCATGCTGCTGCAGAATCCACATCACTCCCCACTGATTTTAATCTGAGCTACTCATATTCTGCAAGGAATAAAGTGAACGACCAATTGAAGTGCCTGGCTAACGATCCAGAGACATGAATTTAAACTTTGGTCCTGTTGAAGCCCCCACCCCTGGGGAACTCAGATGTAAATGGATACCTGGTCTTTTGGGCTAGGGAATTAAAGGCAATCAGAAGTGATGCTAGCCACCTTGCTTCTTTGTGTGCTGTTGGATACAGAAACTAACATGCTTTAACTGTGCTTATTCAGTGTACTGCTTAGGATAGACATGTAAGCTTGTATGATTTTTCCTTCAGTAGAAGAACCACATATCTATGGTTTAAATTATTTTAAAGAGACTTGAGCTGTCTCCATTTTTGGTTACCCAACCTGACATTTAAAAGACTTGATCTTTAGAAAGTCTGCCTCTCGAAAACAAGGCCTTTCAACTAAATTTGGGCATTCAAAAACTGAGGCACTAAAAGTCATTAGTCATTTAGTCATCCTGCATTTTCATGTATCCCATGGGATACATCTCATGAAACCACTGGAAATACTCTAAACTACCAACCATGATGCACATGCTTAGGATGATCCTCTATTATCCATGGTTAAAACCTTTTACCTACAATGAGGACCTCTACTGCACATTCTGCACCCAAGTTGTTGCACAGTTTTTACGGATGTCTACCCATACTAAGTGCAACCTATGTCATATGTCTCCACTGTGCAATAAGGACAGAATAACTTTACTGAGTAAAAAGCTGCTGAATTCACAGATCTGCTGACTCGATCTGCGGACATATTGCTTCCACTACAGTGTTCAATTGATGGACTGGATTCATCATAGCCTCCTCCTGACCCCTCTCTAGGAACATCATTGTTTCCAAAATGAACAATTTCAATTTTTGAAGTAAAGTAAAAAGAAGGTGGGGCAGGACAAATAACAGACCCATTCTTACTTATATTTTAATAACATCAAATACTATATTTTTGGAAGACACGAGTCCGTGGCCTCCCTCCAGTTTGCACTGGCCTTCAGAGAAAATAGGATGCACGTGTGGAACTACTTGTATGACCTAGCTTCAGATGAACTTTCTACATATCAATCATGTGTACAGATTGTACCATGTTGGGGGGGGCAGGGAATCCAGAGGGGGTTCAGTGGTGTGGTTGCATCCCCACCTTTTAGGCCACAGTATGAGAGCAGCAGGCAGGTAATTTCTTTTAAATTCCCCAAACCAGATAAGAATCTTTCTACCCCTCTTGGTACACTTTCCTTCCCCTCTATGCTCACAGGCATCTCTTATACCTTCCCTTCCCCTGCCAGCTACTGTCCCTGTCCTCCAGGGTATTTCTTCCTAGCTTGGGAGCAGGCTCAAGAAGGGGAACTCACCTGCTGCTATCATTGCCCCTGGCTGAGCCTGACTCCTTCAGCAGCCACAGCCTCAGCTGGAGTCGGGCAGAAGCAGCTGGGATAACAGTGGTGGTTACAGATTGGTCTCCCCTTCTGTGCCCAGAGGCCTAAGTAGGGTGGGGGCAGGGAAGGAATGGAAGGGGTGCAGAGAGGGAGAGGTGGAGATTCTTACCTGATTTGGGCACTTAAAAATAGAACCCTGGCTGATGCTCCTGTAATAGGGTGTGCCTGCCCTAGTGGAGAAGGGCGGGAGCAAGGAAGTGTAGCTACCCTTGCAGTGCAGGTCATTGTTCTTGCAACCCACCTCCCCTTTAAAATTCCTGGATCTGCCTATGATCATGTGGGTGGGGTGGCTCTAATCATTACTGTAGTCAATATGAGCCAGGTACAGTTGGGCTCTGTAGGAACATTATTGCCACCTTGGGCAATACTACATGGAATTATACCAATTCTGTTATTGTGTACATACTGGAAACCCCTATAAGAAAAGGAAATATATTTTAAAACAAACAAACAATTTCAACCTGAAACTCCTTCCTAAATGGCAGTGAGCATGAAAGCATCAAATTGTTCTGATGGGTTTACAGGCAGAAAACAACATGAGCAAAGGTAAATTCATTCACAGCTAGTTGTTTCATCTTTTCTGCAGTTTTTGGTCCCTCTTACAAATTTTTAACACATTCACATTCTATATTTTTAAATTCTCTTCTTTTTCATACGTTTTCAACATCTTAATTTCCCTACGGGGCCTAAAGCTGGGTTTTAAATGAGATTTCCATATCCTACATACAAGTAAAGCTTAGCTCAAGTTATAAATAATACACAAAGAAAAATGGTTAAATACTAATAGATAGCCTTGCTGCTCAAAGTTCTTTCAGGTGTTTTCTTTTTTGTCTAATATTGATAAAATTAGGTACTAGCTAAGAACAGATCACAGTAATATAACACAGAAGTGCAAACATCTTAGGTCCTACCCTCAGCCAATGAAAATCCATCAGGTGGCCAGCCAAAGATCTACCTTTTAAAATTTGCTAAGTGTGCAAGAGAAATTTCTGCAGTCAGTTACATGACTGCAAATAACATGTTCACAACAGGGAGCAAAAATAGCACATTAATATCAAAATAAGATATGGCATGGATGAAGACAGGCAATTCTTGACCAAATTCT